TTCCGACCGTACCTCATCTCTTATGTCTTTGGAATTTTCATGAATGTGGGGCGTCGTGCTTCAAGATGTCTTGGAAATAGTAGGCGTCGCGGCACGGCTTTTGTACTTGGTATGTGGCAAACTTTGGTAAAATCAGTGTCTGAAGAAGATTTCGCCAGGAATTACACAGCTTTGATTGACGAGTACGCGAATTATCCAGATTTGATTGAGTATCTCCAATACACTTGGCTCGTATACAAAGAGAAATTTGTAAAAGCATGGACGGATCTAATTTTCCATTTGGGTAATACATCAACAAGCAGGTATTTATTTATAAGTGGTTAAATACATATACTTAACTTACTGTCATGTAGTTTATTGAAACATAGCATATTCTAAACATATTAGGGTGGAGAGCAACCATAGAGCATTGAAGAGATGGTTGGAATCGTCCACGGGTGGCTTCGACACATTTTGGGCACAGTATCACTCAATGATGAAAGATCAATTTAACGAGATACTAGCCGATTTTGCAAAATCAAAGAGGATTCGGGCCCAGACGATCAACGTGCCCGTATTTAAAATATTGTCCAGTGGAATTGTAACACATAATGCTCTGCAGATGTTGGACGATGAGAAGGATGAAGACATAGACGGTTGCGTCTGTTATGTGAGGAAATGTCTTGGACTCCCATGCAGACATGAAATTCGTGCAAAGATGAATGCACGACGTGGTGTGTTTTATGCAGAGGATGTCCACATTTTTTGGAGGACATTTATTTCGGGATTCGGGGATTCCCTAGATGAAAGTGTTGGTTCTGTTCCCGAACACCTAAGTATCCCTCGTCCTACGCCTGCGGTGAGAATGTCGCCCCTGAGAGGGTCCTGCATCCTGATCGTCAGCATCAGCACGGTCCAACTGTAGATACTCAGCGAATGGGGCGCACATGTCCTGGATCGTCCTGAAGAAGTCATCGGGCATATGCCGATATCCTGGAATAGTAGACGGAGGCAAGTTATCGTAGAAGTACGGATGAAACACTCGGGGTGAGATCATATATAGCCGGAACTGCAGATGGTTCCGCTCTTTCAACCGGCTCGGTACTAGGATGTACACGGACGTGAGTGTGGTCTAGAAACCACGGCATATACTCCGGATCCGACTCCCAAGCTGGACGCGCCGGATGACCATAGTAAGCTCGACTAAGCATATGCGTGTGGGGGATATCCCACATCTGATCGCCAGGCTCATAGTTAACCTTGTAAGATGCTATTTTTCTCTCCCTCTTAGACCCTTTTAGCGGACGAATTGGGTCCGCCGGTTTAATCTGCCGAAACCCGAACTGACGCAAAACTCTATCGGGCATATAAGGCTCGACCGTATCCATCCATCGAATAGTCCCGTGATGAACCGTCTTTGCAACTTCAGATGACACTTTCAATCCAAATGACGTCCAATTCACCTATATTCATTTAATTATACACATATATTAATAAGCATAATTAATATAAAATGATACTTACACACATAGATACTTACATCTGACGGACGCATCGAATCGAGACGTCTACGATAATCTACAAGTATATCCTCGTCCTTAGGAATATGATGTATCACCTGCCACCGTTTACACCATGGCTCTCCCGTAACATGTGCGTTAACCATCGGAGGCCGGAAACACGGAAAATACTCATATATCCAACACTACAGTACGGAAAATAATAATACGGCATAATTAACAACAACAACAACAACAACAACAACAACAACAACAACAACAACAACAACAACAACAACAACAACAACAACAACAACAACAGCAACAGCAACAACAACAACAGCAACAACAACAACAACAACAACAACAACAACGACAACAACAACAACAACGACAACAA